TGCTTCCTATTATTTTTGTACGCTATCTTGCACAGGTTTATTTGGTAGTCTGGTCCTAGCCTCGTCACTACTTCGCCGAGGTTAGGCTAGGCACTTACCAGCACATGGGGTCGGTTGTGCTGATACTACACTTCTGTACATTTTTGTGTACAGATCCCAGTGTGGTAGACTTCGGACCGCAGTGAGATTGTTGTTTCTTGTTCATCATGCGATCTGAGGTAGTCCTGCAGGCGTCTGCAGGCCTTGGCGCCTCCTTCTATCTACTATTCCTGTTTCTTTCATGTATTTTCAGAGACAGTGTTGTATTTATTTCTTTCAGACCATTATTTGTAGTACTCCTAGACAGTCTGTGAAGTTGTGACAATAGTCTTGGGTAGATTTGTTATGGATTGGTATTAGCAGAATTATTAAATCTTTACAATGCAGCCTTCCGCTTATTCAATTCTATTGTTATCTAATTGTTGGCTCTTAACTATTATCGGATTAAAAATGAAAATAAGGTAGATAGTTCAATTGGTTGGCTTGCCTAGCTTTCACTAGTAGGCGCCATCACGACTCTCGAGAGTAGGAAATTCGGGTCGTGACAAATAATTAATAATTTTGCATTTCAAAAGTTAAAAAATAAACTTCAATAATAATATATGACGATTTTTCACAAAAAAAAAACATAGACCTCATTCATATTTGGCTTTAGGCCGCCAATTATGTCGAGTCGCCCCTGCTAATTAAGAGTTAAATGTGAAAATACATGAATTAAGTAGCGGAAAATAATTCCTCTCCTCCATACTTTTTGGGGTGATGGTTTAACATGAACTCATACAACCAGGGGCGGATTTAGGGGGGCGCAACTTCGCCAAAAAGATACACTGTATATATAAGGCAAAATCTATTTTTTACCTCTATATATTAAGTTTTGAACCCCCTTAACACAATCCAAAAGTGTAGTTTAGTGGTCAAGGGGGTTTAAAATCTACATAAGGTATGAGTTCAATTCCCACTAGATACAAAATTTTATTTTTGAACCCCCTTCGATATACAACAAGTCTAAAGACAATTTCGTTCATCTATATTGGAAAACTAATTCAAAGTTGTAATAGGAAACTTAAATTGTTTAGGATTTGATATTTGCTAGTTTATTTAACTCATGTCTAAATAAGAGTTGTAATCAGAATTACTATAGGAATATGATTTCCCATTTCTAGTTGAAAAAGATTTCGTACTATTATAAATAGGGGTATTGCAAGCGTTACGTGTGGAGAATTGTAGCGTAGATTTATAATAAAATAATTTTTCCTTCATATTGGTAAACCCTCTCTACTCTGATCCGATTAGGGTTTGACAGTCATGGCGAATCGCACCGATCCATTGGCAAAGAGCATTAGGGGAACGAACCCACATAATCTGGTGGAGCAAATCCTGAGGTCTAAAATATACCAAAACATCTACTGGAAAGAACAATGTTTCGGATTGACAGCAGAAACCCTAGTCGACAAAGCCATGGAACTCGACCACCTCGGAGGTACATTCGGCGACAATAGAAAACCCACACCCTTTATATGCCTCATCATGAAGATGCTCCAAATCCAACCTGAAAAAGACATAGTTGTGGAGTTGATAAAAAACGAAGATTACAAGTATGTTCGTGCTCTTGGAGCTTTTTATTTGCGGATTACGGGTACAGATATCGATATTTATCGATACCTTGAGCCTCTCTACAATGATTATCGGAAGCTCAGACGTAAATTAGCTGATGGGCAGTATGCACTGACACGCGTGGATGAGTATATTGACGAGCTTGTGAGGACAGATTACTCTTGTGATATTGCTTTGCGTCGTATCAAGAAAAGATCGCAATTGGAACATAATGGACAGCTGGAACCTCGGATAAGTGCGTTGGAAGATGACTTTGAAGAGGAAGAGGAAAAGGATGAAAATGAACCACTTGCCACTGCATTAGATGATGAGTATGAAAAGGATTACTATGACATGGATCGTGACTATGATAGAGATCGAGATTATGATAGAGACTATGACAGAGATCGTGAATATGACAGGGAACGTGGCAGAAGTGACAGGGATAGAGATAGAGACAGGGACTGGGACCGTCTTCGCCTCAGGGACAGGAAGGCCAGAGAACTTGACCGTGAGCGTGATCCGCATAGGAGTTATTGTAGGAGCAGCAGTAGAAACAGAGACCGTAAAGATTGTGGTGATGATCGTCGTAAAAGGCATGCTCGCAGCAGTTCTAGTCCTGCTCGGGATGAACCCAAGAAAAAGAAGGAGAAGAAAGATGATAGAACAGATCATCCAGAGATAGCAGAAGCCAACAGGCTTTGGGCTTCGCTAGTTCCTCTAGTACTATTATTAGCTGATGCTACAAAGTCCCAACAAATATTTGAGTTCGGTTGGAAAAAAAAATTGAAAAATTAATTTTGTAGTAGGAAACTTAATTGTTTATGATTTGATATTTTCTAGTTTATTTAATTGATGTCTAAATAGAAATTATCTTCAAAATTACAATACTAAAAAGGGAGAAAAACCAACTGCCAAAACTGACCGATGTTGGTCGGTATTTGGCAAAAATCGATCGAAAACCGACCAATTCGTGGCGATCGGTAATCGTAACTTTGGTCATTATTTTTCGACCGATTTCGCGGTCAATTAAATTCAAAAAAGAAAAAAATTGCCGAAAAAATCTACCGAATCTACTACTAGACCATTGGTGTATTTTATTTCTGGGGACTATACTGTGGCAGGATACTAATCTACTACTAGACCATTGGTGTATTTTATTTCAAGACTGTTTTTATTTTATTTATACTCTATATTATATTTTCACGCGAAAATAACCGATCAATGTCGGTCGATTTTATTTAAAAACAAAATTACCGAGAGAAATTGGTTACTTTTTTAAAATGACCCGCCGAAATAATCGACCGGAATCGGTCGATTTTTTTAATACTAATTTTAATTTATTTTAAAAGAGAAAACGACCAAAGTTGGTCGGTTCCTTGTAAAATAAATTTGTAGGATGCAAAAATAGTTTCCCGCATTTTTGCGCCAAAAATACCCCATCAAAGTTGGTCAGTTTTGTAAAAAAGAATTAAAGTTATTTTTTTTTTTTGAAAAATCGACTGACTTCGATAAGTTTTTGGGCAGATTTTTTGATCGATCGAAATCGGCCGATAGACCGCGGTCGGTTTTGACCGAATTTCTAGTAGTGTTAATATAGTATAGGGGTATTACTATATAAATAGATTTCTGGTTGAAATAGATTTCGTGTATAGGGGTATTACTATATAAATAGTCGGTTTTGGCTTTCATGTTTCTAGTTGAAATAGATTTCGTACTATTATAAATAAAGATATTGCTAGCTTTATCTGTGAAAAAATATTAAATTGTAGTGGAGATCTATAATAAAATATTCTTTCCTTCAAACTATATATAGATGAGAATATTTTCAACTTTACGGTGTTTCAAATTATCACATTCTTGCCTCCACCTGTAGTAAATTGTTTAAGAAACCGACAGCTTGTACTCAATTTGCCTTTGTTATTCATCCTTTTGAATCTCTTAAGCTTAAGGGATCATACTTTCACTCGTGTTATAACTCTGATGCGATTCCCAAGAAAAGAAAACAGAAAAAAAAAATCTGATGGGATTACTTTTGGCCTCTTCTGACTTTATCTTTTTTTATTTTTATCCGGTATCTATTACCCCCATAAGCTCGAGTAATATGACTCTATGCCCAAAACTCAACTCGGGACATGTTAAGAATGGAGATCACTCCATCACAACCTTTGTGGTAGTTCACAATGATGTAAAATATATATTTAAAGAATTGACCCACGACCTTGTGTGTCAGAGTCTGAAACAATTTTGTAAAACGATATATACTATGCGGTTTCTTCACGATATTTGGCTATTTTTAAAAAAATAGGTTTTTTTATTGTGATTTATGGTTATAAAAAGTTATTTATGAATTCCTCTCTCCGTGTGAAGTTAGTTTATGATTATTTCTTTTTTAAAAAAAAAGACGCCTTAAAAAATGATTATAAAAAGAGATCACAGATCAATAAGGAATCATGATAAGAAATAAAATTCGGAACCCTCTATTCTTTTTGGGAAGGAGGGAGCACGATCTTTACGAAACTGTCAAGTTATTATAAAATATTGCTGTCAACAATAACCACCACCTATTGCTACGGTTTCGGAAAAAATCAATAGTTTTAGCTTAAAAAGTATATTTATATTAAAACATTTATTAACTGTGTACAAATATTAATTTAGAGCCTAATTATTAACACTTGAATTAATTATCCTAAAATTCAGAGCTTATAAGATTGAAATTATGAGTAGAATTGTTAAAAAAGAAAATACAAGTATATTAATTATCATGCATTGCTCAATTGAACAATATCCTTCATAAGGTAGATGTAAGGTATGCGTACATATTACTCTTTTCAGACTCTACATGAATTTTTTGTTGTTATTATTGTTGTTGCTGCTTCTCAATCAGTAATCAGTCTTTTTAATCATTAACTAACTCCTAAATGAATCATAAGCCAATATAATAGAAAAATTCACCACTAAAGGTTGTATTAGAGTGACGAGTATTCCTCTATCATTATCAAATCTTCTTTGGTATACGGCACGCTTTTGCCCCCCAAAGTTTGACTTTACAATGCAAATCAAATTAAAATAGTCGGATATCGAACACCGGGTGCATAAATATAAGAGACTAAACTATGTTAGTTAAGCTGAGAAGTTTTTTCTGTTGGTTCCTTAAACAGATATTAAACATGTATTATAACAGCAATAATCATGTCTAGGGATGAATATAAGTTGGTTCTTGAACTGCAGATCTACAATACTGAATTTCTATCTGCAAAAATAAATAGTGCTAAAGATCAGTGTTCAAAAACCTTGGGCCTGTCAGTTTTAGCTGTTATTCCATGATTCAACAAATTTTTCTAGTATAAACTAGCTAATATCAATTTAATAAAGAATAACTGTACACACGAAAAATGTAATAGTTTTTCTGTTGCAAATTAATCACAGTCGTCATCTTCTTATTGATAAACGGTACTGTTAAATATAACTTTTTGCTAGTTGCATATATACAGCCACTTTATACGAACATCTTTTATTTCGATCATGCACCGCTTAATTAAGTCCGTCATCTATATATAATCATAATTTAATACTCCCTCTGTTCGACTCTGCATGACATAAGTCAAACTAACTAATTTCAATGTGAAATCGAACATATAATCTTCAAGTTTTTCAAAAAAAAAGAAATTACATATTCTTAAATTACGTAAAAAATCATCCACTATAAGTAGTATATCACTAGTTTGCAATCCCCAAAAAAAAAGTTTGCAAAAAACCTAATCAAAAGAAAACTCCTACAATTCTCCAAATTATAACGGTGTGTCATATTATAAAATAAAACATTGGAAGTTCTTTCTTAATGCTTTATTTTTTATTTCTTATTACGCATTGTTTAATTTCACGCTTCCTAGTACATGGTCAATTTAAAAATAAAAACTAGAAAGCCATTGCTAGTTATTATTAATTGAATAAAATAATACCCGTGGCTATTGTAATCCACAATGTACGTATGTTTCACGCTTCGTAGTACATGCTCAATTAAACAAAAGCCATGGATTGTTAATTGAATAAAAGAAGAGTCATTTTAACACTATATATATATTTGCTCAAGCAATTACATTCTCACATAATTTCCAGGGACTCTTAACTATTATCTCTTCTCCTTTTCTTCATAAATACTCCACATTAAAGTACGTAAACTTATAGTAATGGGTATCTCAGCTTGTTTTGTTAGAGTTGTTGTTGTCTTAATTGTTCTTCTTGTTAGTGATATAGAGCAGACATCTGGTATGGTTGGCAGGCGATTGCTTGGTGCAGGTGCAGGTTCCGGCGGAAGTGGTGGCAAGGAATTGATTTTTGACCGTGCAACTTTCCGCAGTGCTATGCCCCCTACACGTGGAAGGTTCGGTGGTTCCGCTAATACTACAAGTGTAGGTATCGGTGTGAGTGCAGGTGGAAGTTTCGGTGGTTCTGATAATGCTACAAGTATAGGTGTCGGTGTTAGTGTAGGTGAAGGTTTCGGTGCTAATGCAGGTGTAAGTTTCGGTGCTGCTACAACTGGAAACTAAATAGTTATCTGATCCTTGCCGATAGTGGTGTACGCAGAATTTTATATAAGTGGTGTTATAATATGAAAAATAAACAAATGAATAAATTACTATAATAATAAGCGATGTTATTTTTTATATATATTTTTAATATTTTTATTTTTATTATAAATATTTAATAAAAAATTGCTAAACCGATGTCTCGTAACATCGCATGATAAAAGGTGCATGTGCCCCTGCTTGCGGAAGAAAGTAATGCAAAAAAGATTTATAACAGTATAAATTATTTACCTTATTCTTGTTGCTTCTGCCGTAACAACTGAAGTTTATTTATTTATTCATTTATTTATTTTGGGAGATAGACAGATGGTATGAGTTTGTGTTTGGTGTGTTTCTTTTGGATAATAAAGCACTGTTTTTTTTTTTTTTTTATTAATCCTCACCAGACAAAGTTATTTACTAGTGATATTTCCCTACTATAATCTATACTAGCTCAAAGTTAAAACTATATCGTTATTCTCTTCTCCTTGAGCATCCCTACTACGTAGGTTTACCCAGTTAAAAACTAGTCCTATACTCTTGCATAGTCATTACTTTTTTCCTATCTGTACAATTGAGTGATCCACTTTATTTCTTTCCTATTCTTTCTGTTGGCTTCTATGAGTTGTAGTCTGTATTTGGTATCCTCTTTTATGCTCTTCCACATCTTTGTTGGCAATGGTACTTTCTGATTCCATAGAGCTTCATTCCTTGCTCGCCATATCCCATACATTTTTGTTGTGATGATTGAGGTCACGAATCCTCGACATATTCTCCCTTTTATACATCTTCCAATTTTCCTCCAAATGCTCTGCATATCTGATTGTTTCAGCTTTATTCCCAACCAACTGCATAGTTCATCAATGCATTCTGGTGAAATGACACTCGAAGTACAGATGATTGTTTCATCCTGCATTCCAAATAGCAAACATATTCTCTCTTGGCTCACTCCCATCATATATAGTTTATCCCTCGTAAGTAATCTTTGTTTCATGATCAACCAGCCTATAAAATAATATTTTGGAACATTTAACCTATTCCAAATCCATCGTGCATATGGCCATTTAGGTGCTTCTCCTCTTCTCTATTGGTATCCTTCATTTACTGTGTACCTCTTCATATGCTCCTTCCACCCTTTTTGTTCATAACCTGCAACAAACACTGTTTTGATATAACATATTTTCTTCCAATACCATGCACTATCTTGTGGTGGTTTGTATTGCCACTAGTCATTGCCCTTTATGTATATGTGATTTACCCACTTAACCCATAATGAATCACTTTTTTGCTCTATATTTCACACATATTTTGCTAATGCTGCTTCATTTCATGCCAAACATTTTTGTATTCCTAATCCTCCTTCTCTTTTTGGTCGGCAGACTAGGTCCCATGCTACCTGTGGGGATTTGTTCGTGACACTTTTTCCATCCCATAAGTAGTTTTTACATATAGCTAAAATGTCTTTCGTGACCCTTTTTGGTAGTAGGAAGATGGATGCCCAGTATGAGTGTAGGTAGAACAACATAGTATTTACCAACTGAGTTCTCCCTGCATATGATAAGTTCCTGGATCCCCATCCTTTTATCCTTACCAGTATCTTGTCTATCAGCATTTCACAATCAACAACACGTAATTTCTTTGAGGATATAGGCACTCAAAGATATTTAAATGGGAGTTACCTTTCTTATATCTTGTCAGCTCACATATGTCTTCTATTTCTCTACCATTCATATCCACACATAAGATATTCGATTTATTTGCATTAACAGTCATACCAGATGCATTATAGAATGACTTGCGTCCCCTTAGCATGAACATTACTGATGGATAATCACCTTTACTGAATAGTATCATATCATCCGCAAAATAAAGGTGTGTCAGCTTCAATCCTTTGCATTTTGTATGATATGCAAATACTTTCTGCTTAGCCACATGTCCCATGATGCACGTGAATCATTCCATACAAATCACAAACATTAAATGGGAGATTGGATCCCCCTGCCTTAATCATCTCTTCCCCTTTATTTTTCCATAGCACCCCCTATTTAAAGTTATGATGTAGCTGGTTGATATGATACATGCCATAATCTACCTTATGAAGATCCCATGGAAGTTTAGTGCATGCATCATTTCCTCCACAAACTTCCATTCAATGGAATCATATTCCTTCTTCAAATCCACCTTGATCAAGCAGTTTTTAGTAGTTTGTTTCCTCTTATAATCTGACCAAGTCTTGACAGATCAGTATGTTCTGCACTATTGTTCTCCCAGTCATAAGGCACTTTGGTTTTGTGATGTGCTGTCTGACAGTACCAATTTCAATCAGTTACACAATATCTTTGAGATTACTCTATTAATATGCCTCTCATAAGAAATTGAATATTGGGAAGGCCGATACTGAAACAAAAATAAATTGTCACGATAACTTCTTATAACTAAAGTAGATAGGTTTCTTTATAGTAAATTGCAGTTCTCCCATGAAAGCCAATTGAAGATTAGATTGCATTCACTTGAACAGATGGAGCATCCCTAAAATTGAGGGAGTTTCTGTCCCTCATGTCTTACTTTTAAATCCCCAAAAAAACCCGATCAAAATTTTTTAAAATAAAGATGAAATTATAAGTCAGATATGATAAGGATGGAGAATTTGACAGATTGAGATAAAAATGAGGTCAGATTTAGTTGAAAATTTATTTTTCTAACCCATAATGAGAAGTCCACCATTGTTTTCTATGAAGATTCATACTACAAGTTTTTTTTAAAAAAAAAACAAACTACAAAAATTCATACAAATTTAAAAATAAAGAAGAAGATTTAGGTAAGAATCGAAAGAGTAGCAAACACAAAAATTTAACACCATAGTTGAGAAGAGTGAATAGAACTGAAAAATAGGTAAGAAAGGAAGAAGAAAAGAGGCGGTGGCTAAAAATCTCAATAACGTGGTTATTGACACATAAGCACTTTTTTGGCTAAGAAAAATGACTCTTCTACCCTTGGTCTACCATTTATATATTAAAAATTTCAAATAAACAAACACATCTGTTGATGAAATAAAGTGACTTTTCGGAAAGGCCGCAAGTATCAAATAGTGGCTTTTTGTATCCTGTAGAAGATTGTCTGTATTTTTTTCAAATCTATATAGGAGCAATAACTTCTTTATGGAAAGTCGTTCTCATTCCTCAAGCCTTCTCAATCACATTTTCAATTACTGTTTTTTAACAATTCTATGTAACGACCCGACCGATCGTTTTGAGCATTTGCACTTCGCTTGGTGGTTTAAGGACATGAGTAACTCCGTATTATGTATTATGACTTGTGTGTATCATCTGTTTTGGCTTTCAGGTGTGTCAGAATTAGTTTAGAAGAATGGATTTCAGGTTTGAAGCTTTAAGTTGAAAAAGTTGACTAGTTTAACTTTTGAGTATTTGATCCCAAATTAGAGTTTTGATAGTTTCATCAGGTCCGGATGGTGATTTTGGACTTGAACATATGCCCAAAATTTTATTTGGATATTTCTAGAAGGTTTTGTTGCGAAAGTTGGAAATTTGAAGGTTTGGAATGTTATAAGTTTGATCGGGAGTTGACTTGGATGATATCAGGTTCAGATTGAGATTCCAGGAATTGGAATAGCTTTGTTATATTATTTAGGACTTGTGTGCAAAATTTGGGTTCATTCCGATTTGATTTGATATGTTTCGTCACGAGTTTCGGAAGTTGAAAGCTCATTAAGTTTGAATTGAGGCGCGATTCATCATTTCG